CCGCAAGGCTCAGGCTCTCCACAAGGCCGAGAAGGAACTGTACCTATCCCACTGGCTCAAGGCTAAGGAATCCACCCTCAATGGAACCATCAAGCGCTGCTTCTCCGAGGAGCTTGTCACGGCCCAAAAGGCCGAGGGCTTCTCCGATGACCAGGCCGCCTACATCTCGGGCACCCTCCTCGAGGCCGGCTCCGACACCACCTCGTCCACACTCTATGCCTTTGTCCAAGCCATGCTCCTCTACCCTGACATCCAGCGCAAGGCCCAAGCTGAGATCGACCGCGTCGTCGGTGAGGACCGCCTGCCCAACATGGAGGACGAGCACGACCTCCAGTATGTGCGCGCCATTGTCAAGGAGACGCTCCGCTGGATGCCCACCACCATCATGGGCGCTGTCCCCCACGCCGTGACCCAGGATGACTACTATGAGGGCTATCTCATCCCCAAGAACGCCGGTGTTGTCAACAACGTCTGGTCGATCCACATGGACCCCGCCCGCCACCCTGAGCCCCGCCGTTTCAACCCTGACCGCTACAAGGATGACCGCCAGTCCCTGGCTGATGCCGCTGCCAACCCTGACTACTCCAAGCGCGATCAATTCACCTTTGGTGCTGGCCGCCGTATCTGCCCTGGTATCCACGTCGCCGAGCGCAGCTTATTCCTTGGTGTCTCCCGTATCCTGTGGGGATTCAACATTGAGCCCAAGATCGACGCCAAGACTGGCAAGCCCATCCTTCCTGACCAGGAGAAGCTCACTCAGGGATTCGTCTGCATGCCTGAGGAGTACGAGGCCAAGATCACTCCCCGCAACGATGCCCGCCGCCAGAGGATCATGGACGAGTGGAAGATTGCCGAGGAGACCTGCCTCGACCCCGAGACCAAGCAGTGGAGACAGGTTCCTCTCACCATCGCCCCCAGGTCCACCAAGGCTTAAAGGGGAAGTGGCCACTATTCTGATGACTTTCACGTTTCTCAACATAATATGGGCTTGGTTTACAAAATACTACAAACTTTGGGTTGGTGTTTTTGGAAAGGATTTTGAATTGGTACGACCATGGAGTTTGACATGATCCTGGCAACAGTACGATTCTCTTCCGTGTATAAATATTTTGGCTTTTTGATATACCTCTAGGAGTACAGTGAGGTCCATAGGTAGCGATGGATAGCGGCGGTGTATGGGATTTCTGGCAAATGAATAAATAATATCTAAATCATTTCGATTGTTTGAGCTTTTCTTGCACTGGACGTGGCAATGAGATGGTTTCCTTCCACTGGATTCTCCACTGATCTTTTTTTCCTTGCATTTCACATCCAAAGTTTCTCCTTGGCATGATTTCCAATTTTCTATGACCGCATCAACTGATCACCCACATAATCACTTACATAGGGCTTAGACAGTCCAGCATCATGGCACGAGGGAACGTCGATGTCAGAAGAAGCGTCTTACACCAAACCAGGCTCCACAGGCTTGGCTTCAGTCAAGCTTAAGGCTAATGCATGCTCCCGGAGTCCCGGGATAGCTTCATCTTTCCGCTCCGCTTAACTGGAGAAGAAAATCCATCCCACGGCCTCGGTTCATCGGCGTCTCGGAGTCCTTCTAGACACTAGGATCATCCTTGCTTGCTCGAGGACACTAACGGACCGAATATCTCTGCCGTTTGAGCCCCGTTCTGTTGTGGACTCCCCGCAAAATACCACGGTTGCAATTTTGCACCGAAGCTGTGCGCTAGCCTCCACGAGTTAAGAGGCACACGTTGCGAGGCGAGCAAGTAGTTTCCTGGTTGCCGGTAATAGTGTAGCATTGGCATCTCGGACACTACAAACGTTTCAAAGCACTACAAAGGCCAAGGCCGATATTTGTTTATGACACCGGACGAACGGCATTGCAGTTGTGGAAGTTGCTCGTATGCCGTGGCTCATACGTAATGTTGTTTTTTCTTCTTCTAATCCAACAAGCCCACAGCTCAATAACGAGGAGGCTGGATCATACGCACCTTGATGGCCGAGATCTGGTGGATATGCTGGAGGTGAGGGATATAACAACCAGCTTACCAGCCATCCTGGCTTACCTATTATTCAATCGATGCTTCTTCTCTCTGCTCCCATCTCTTTCTGCGATCCAAAAGACTGGTCGTCGTGCCTACGGAGTCTGTTTTACGTTGGGAAAGCCTATGGACATGTCCGGCTTATTTCCATTCAACAACACCCCCTTTCATCATTCACCTTTTCTTCATGCTCCTCACTGCTTTTCTCTTGGTTTACCAATGCATTCAGGGGAGTAATGAGACAAACTGGGATAAGTCTTGATATTCGGGCAAGTGTGGGATGGACCCGTGACCCGTCACCAGTCAGGTCCCTGAGAGGACAGGACCCCTGCGTCGCGTGCCTCTCCCACTTAAACTTACACGGCCCCGGATCCCTGCAAGTTCCATCCCACCACCACTCCGAAAATACCAAGATCTAATAGCCGCGCTCGGATGGGGTATATATTCACGGGAGTGTGGATGTTTCTTTATATCTCCACTTAATTTCGGCCGGCATCATTACCTAACGATGCTCACCGAATCCTTGAATTTGGACAGCAGAGTGATTATGAGGTCTCTGATTGGTCAATGCTGTTCGTATCCTATCGAGCTGTAGAGCTTCGAAGCAACGAACAGCTCATCATGGACTTTCTGCAGCCGACCAGATGAGCCGATCGTCATATTGACGTAGTTTCTCGTATCCTACCCCAATTTACCCCAGACTCCAACTTGACAGTCTCCTTGTTCCCGTGCTTTCCCCGCTGTTGATCTTGCGCTTTTCTGTTCCCTACCAGGCCTTCTACGCTCCTTCGATCTACGTACCACGTCGTTATCATCTCCGTGTCACGCCATACTGGCACGATCTGTCTCGTAACCTTGCAAAAAGAGCTAGTCCGACAGCTCATCGTATCTGAACAACTCCCCTCGGTCACGACCGAGCCCTGCCCACATATCGTATCAGCTCGAGAAAAGAACGTAGAGAACAAGGACCCAACAAAATGTCCCGGACAACCACAGCCCTCGTCGTGCCTGAGCTCAACGGCAAGTTTGAGCTCAAGCAGATTTACCTCGACGAGATCCAGCCCGACGAGGTGCTGGTCGAGATCCATGCCTCGGGCATCTGCCATACCGACTTGTCGTGCGCGAACGGCACGCTGCCGTGTGCGCCGAATGCCGTATTGGGTCATGAGGGTATGTCTTACTTACCGTCTCTCAACCCATCTCTCCTACAATCCTATTCTCTTCCTCGTTCGCTATCCTTCATGATGGTTAGGACATTGTCTCTCAGACTTACCAACCCTTCGCCCATTTCAACCTCACCCCCGAAGACCCAATGTAACTAACCACCCCCCTTCGTGTATCAACAGGCGCCGGCGTAGTCCTCAAAACCGGCTCAGCCGTCTCAACAGTCTCCCCAGGCGACAAGGTCCTCCTCTCCTTCTCCCACTGCGAATCCTGCAGCTCGTGCACCTCATCCCACCCATCCTACTGCCAAACCTTCAACGACCGCAACTTTGGCGGCTCCCGCCCACCATGCCCTTCCACAGGCCAAACCCCCCGGTCTTCTCCGAGCGCTATGCTCACCGGCCCCAACGGCTCCCCCATCCATTCCTCTTTCTTCGGTCAGTCCTCATTCGCCAAACATACCCTCGTCCACCGGTCCAGCGTCGTCAAGGTTCCCTCAGACACAGATCTCGCCCTCTACGCGCCAATGGGATGCGGCATGCAAACGGGCGCGGGCGCTGTGCTGAATTCTCTCAGGGTTACCCCGGGGAGCTCAATCGCAGTCTTTGGAGTCGGCTCCGTGGGCATGGCATCCGTCATGGCGGCGGCATTCTCCAAATGCAAGACCATAATCGCGGTAGACCTGCAACCTTCGCGGCTGGAACTGGCCAAGAAGCTGGGGGCTACGCACGGTGTGATTGGGAGTGACAAGGACGTCGTGGAACAGATTCGCAGGATTGCCGGGACGAATGGAGTCAACTATGCGGTTGATTGCACTGGTGTGCCGGCTGTTGTGAGGATCATGATTGATTCGCTTGGGACACTTGGACGGGCGGCGACGGTTGGTGCGCCCGGGCCGGGAAAGACTGTTGCTGTTGACATCATGGAGCAGTTGACTTTTGGGAAGGAGTATGTCGGGTGCTGTGAGGGTGATAGTTTGCCTTCGGAGGTTAGTTCTTTCCCTTTTTTTCTCTTCTCTTTGTCTTGGGTTGGTTGGTTGTTCCTTCCTATTGGGACCGTTGGGGGTAGTGTATGAAGGAGCAAAAGAGAGAGCGTGGGAGAAGGGAACAAGCATACAAGGGTCGAGTTTTGAGCGAACAAAGCTAACAGATGTCAAAAACAGTTCATCCCGTTCCTTATCGAAAAGCACGCCAAGGGCGAGTTCCCCATGGAGGAGTTTATCCAGTTTTATGACGTCAAGGAGTACGAGCAGGCCATCGAGGACTCAAAGTCGGGCAAGGTCATCAAGGCGGTCCTGAAGTGGGATTCCATTCAGTAGAAAAAGTCATCTGAGAGAACAGGAAAGCCTCCAAGTTTTGGTTGGATAATTGTGAATTTGGATATTCTGAAAGACGGCTTGAGCGGAGTTCCGGCTTGTGAATACCCAGGTATAGAAATACAGAAAAGGATTAAAGTGAATGAGATGACTACCCGAAGAAGGTACACTTGTTCCAGATGTGAGCAGCGGTGACAGGGAGAGAGACTCGAGGGAGTGAATAGATGCATGACCGCATATTTGGAGGTTTGGTTGTGCAGTGTCTCGAGCAGGGCACCAGAAGGTGCCTTTGAGGACGAGCAGAAAAACAGGAGAAACAATAAGACAGACAAGTAGCCAGAGAGCGTGACAGAATAAGTCAGAAACATTGAAGGACCGGGCGTATGAAAACGGTCAAGACAATGACAGAAAAGTATAAAAGAAGGAATACAAAAAATAAGAAAAAAAAGAAATCATGAAGCCGCCATCGGGAATTGAGCCCGACGTGGGGGTCGAACCCACAACCTTGAGATAGTCTTTTTCTACCCTGAAAGTTTCCTTTCTAGCAGGAGTAAGAGTCTCACGCTCTACCGATTGAGCTAGCCGGGCGGGTTCTTGCTGTTTGATGTTGGGCGTGGCAGACATTTGTCTTTTTATTAGACATGACTCAAGCCACACGCTGGTTAGGTTTTGCTGCCCTCGTCAAACTTTGTTCCCTAGGTGGAGTAAAAGAAAAAAATCTTTCCATCGTGGCGACGAGAAGGGGCATTGCATTGGGTGTGGATACCGTGGCTAGGTCAGTATCGTTGCTGTGACAGCTCGAAGCGAATAGGGGCTGGCATACAAAGTAAATAGAGGCTGCATCTCTATCATTAGATAATACAACGGAAACCCCGGAGAAAATACTCGGGGAAAGAATTAGTTGGCGAGACCTGCCGATTCCTGTGAGGATGTCCCATGACATAGGTGTCAGCTATATATCGTTGCTTGGCTGGTCAGCCATCGTGGGATTTTCTGCCCTGCCTGCAGTACCGGCGCGTGAAATATGGGGTGCAGCGGTGATATTACCCCGGAATGTGGCGGACACTTCTGACTGGTCTGGGTAAATAGCATTTAGTATACTTTGAGAGCAAGTATGGGCCCAGATGTCAACAAGGCCAGCTTGGTCCCGAGCTTTTGATTGAACTGTCATATTGTGATAGTATTCTGGAGACTTCTTTACTTGGCTCGGCATATGCCTTCCTTTTGTGCGTGTGATGTCGTGATGGGATATAAATCCATCATATGGCTCCCGCCAGGCAGCGAGAACCAGTGTGACTTTGTTTCCTGGTACAAGCAAATCTGCCAATTCAACGAGGGCACTGGGACTCTTTGACTGAAAATCCGCCAAAATGAAGCTCCTCGCTCCCCTAATGCTGTTGGCTTCCACTGCTGAAGCACACTGTATGCGGACACCTCTCCAAGCCCAAGATAACAAGCCACTAACCATGACGGGTAGACCGCTTCTCGCGCATCGTCGTCAACGGCGTCGCCGAGGCCAAGGAATGGACCGCCGTCCGCCAGACCAAGAACTACCAGGGCAACCAGGGCGTGACCGACGTCAATAGCAATGACATGCGTTGCTTCCAAATGCGAACTGGCACCTCGACGGCGACCATCAACGCCGGCGGGACTCTGGGATTCATTGCCAACTCCCAGATTACCCATTTCGGACCCGTCTCGTTCTACATGGCCCGCGTGCCCGATAATGCCAACATTAACACATGGGAGCCGGCGGGCAATGTCTGGTTCAAGGTTGCAGTCATCGACGCGGTCCGCAAGGGCAACGATTGGGACTGGCCTGCATATAGTATGTTCATGTCCCTCACACTTCTGGGTCGGCATACTGACATGGGTCAAACAAATAAACAGACAAGGTCCAGGTCGACTTTACCGTCCCAAAGAGCGTCCCAAGCGGTAAGTATCTCGTCCGCGTGGAGAGCATCGCTCTTCATCAAGCTCAGTCTGTTGGTGGTGCTCAGGTATGCAACAGACCTTTCTCACATTCAAGGCTTTTCATGTTTTGGATCAAGTAATCCTAACCACATCCCGGGAAATCAGATCTACCTCTCTTGCGCCCAAGTCGAGGTGACCGATGGCGGAAACGGCACACCCGGACCGTTAGTCTCCTTCCCTGGCGCATACCGATCCAACGACCAGGGACTTCTCTGGTCATACTACCCCGTCAAGACGAGCTACACCGCTCCCGGCCCCAAGGTCTGGACTGGCAACTAAGTCCCTGTGGAAGCATCTGGCTGTCTGAGGCTTATCTGCCACATCAGCACTTGGATCTGTCGAAATGTAACTGTCTCCTGGGAATCGTGTAACGTTTAGAAGGATGAAGGGTTAAGAATCACAAGTCTCGACTTGAAGTTGGCGTCACTCTCAGTGCCTGGTGATTGTGTGTCAGATAAGCTGACGAGTTTGGGGAATATTCATGTGGATTCATGCCCGAGACCCAAGCCACCATGTCTGAGAACACGTAATTACCGATTAATTGACGGAGTCGTTGTTACAAAAAAACAATCGGAACAAGTTGTATAGGTAGACTTTGCCAGCCGGGTCCCAGTGTAGTATACAATTGGAACCTTCCCTGATGCTTCCCAGCAAAAGCATCCCGGTCAGTTTCTTATTTCTTCGGAATGCCCCTCTTAAAGAGTCGGTCAAGCACATCATCCTTGATATAATCCGCCCTGACATCCTCCTCCGCCTCAGTCGGCTTCGGCGCCAAGTCTCCCGCCGGCATCGGGATGGTATGGTGCTTCTCAGCCGGGAGCGGATCATCGTCGTTCCGATCAGCAGCAACGTCGGCCTCGCTCTCGGTAGGGTTTCCCTTGACTTCGCCTTTATAAGGGACGAATATGGCTCCCTGCAGTTTGGCGGTGAAGATGTTCACTGCTTGAGACAGACGAGACGCTCGCTCTTCGATGCCCAGGTCGGGGAGGTGCCACGAGGCGGTTGCCATCGCCCAGCTCGTGGGAGTACTGTGCCGCTTGTTGCCATACTCTGCGGCGGCGGCGGCGATGGTATTTTTGGATGGGTTTTGGAGGAAGGTGTATGGGAGCTGGGTTGCAAACCCCCGGATCGCGTGGGAGTTTGTCTTGGGGAGGGTGTACAGAAACGCCCTTGATAGGATGCGCATTGTCGAGGAGATTTGAGGTACCTGCCGAAGTGAGCAAGAGGGAACGTATCACAAAATTGAGGCGGTTATTCGAAGACTGACAGCGAGTACAGGGAACAAAAATCCTTTTATTCGGGGAAAATTAAGGTGAATCGAGGTTCATTGGTGGCCCGTAGGACGGCGTTGGAGAAAAATGATCATGATGATATTACGATGGGTGCATCAAGCAAATTGCACTTTCCGTCAAAGTCACGTCACCTTGTCCGTTCGCTCGTCCTTTGGTGATGCCCACTCGCGCGGGTCCGTCCGTCCGTTTTATAACCTCGGTTGTGTGCGTACAGTGAGGCTTGGAGTGCACTTGCCTTGCCTATACCGGAGTGGATGTCGCGATGTGCACCTTCCTTTGTCCCGCGGTTGCCGATGAAGCGGATCCGGAGTTCCAGACCATTCTGCGCGTTTTTTTGCGAGTCTGTCAGGAAAGCAAAGCCCCCAACAATTGAGGCTCCCTGAACCCCCACGTCAAGGACTGCTGGCAGACGTTTGTCACTATGTCGCCAAGCTCAATTAAAGAATGACCCCATCACCAGAATACACACGACCACAGTCATCAACCGCCATATCTCTCAGCAATGTCGCACTCCGTTGCACTCGGCGTGCCTGCATGTTTTAACGGCCTGAATGTAACTCGAATCAATCTCGTCAAGAAACACAAACTCAATTGTTTCTGATCCAGCGCGCTTGAGGGGGTCACAACAAGGTGCTTACTACAATGCGCCTCACACCGACACCGACCCCGATCGAGAACGACACGACGACGCGCGCCTTCTTTTGTCGACCGAAAACCCCAATCTGGAGGTGGCACAAGAATATCTAGATGCTCAAGACGTGTCTGGGGTGAAGCAAGGGGTCTGATACCGAAGCACTGCACTGCAGACGGTCCTCCCGCCCCCTTTTTTGCGGTTGGTGAGCTTGACGCAACCACATACCAATCGTGACTCGCGCAAAGCACCGCCCTAGCTCGGCAGCAGGCGAAAAAGTCGAAACATCGACAAGACCCTTCTTCCACGTGCGCGGACGAGTAGAAGGACAGAAAAAGTCAAGTTGATCCATTTTACCGCCCGCCCGTCAATCTGCTGCCGACTTGGACACTGAGCCCGATTTTCAGGGGTAATTCCAATGCGGGGACGGATTGTGGATGCACAAATGTCAAGTACCAAAGCCGATCGGCAGCAGTGCCAGCAGAAGGGATCGCCCTCTATGGGTACTCACTGGACGATCTTGTCCCGGGAATAGGGTTGTAACTGGCAAAATGGCAAGACAGCGGCACACCAAAAACACCAAGAATGCAAGCCGTTTGGTGGGAGTGACGATTCTGAAACGAGGTGCGTTTCTGCACCCCGGAACCTGAACGTCATTTTGTTCTTGGGCTTGGTGCTTCATGTGGGTAGGACAAATCGGTAACATGTACGACTTGGGCAGCGATCGTCCATTTCTTTTTGTCTGCGGATGTCGTACCGCCATGTAAGGGGAAAGAAAGGGGGCGCGGGAACGACGATATAACTGTTGGCCATGTCCCAACTTTTATCTCCACGTCAGCTTTGTTCCGACCTCAATGATTGACTTACAATTCGAGAAGCAAAACAAGCTTGGGAAAGGATTGACAGGATATACAAACCGAGGGCAGCATGGCGACCCCCACTACTATCACCGGCCAGGCGCCGATATATCTCGGTCCCCTAACGACTACATTTACTCCGCCTCCGGCATGTACCGCTGCTATTGGCGAGTTCAGCAGCGGATTTCTTGGCCTCGTTAAGAATCCGAAGCCCTTTGCCACCCGCGGGATGTCATGCTCAAAGGGTAAACCAGCCGACGCAACGAGTTGCTGGCCGCCGATTGCGAGCGGTGCCCCAATACCCCAGGGACGCTTGCAGGGAATCTACTCACCTGGCGTGGAGTGCCCGGTCGGATATGCCACAGCATGCTCGGCTACCGCGGGAGGACCAAAACCAACGAACTGGGACATGCAGTTCCAACTCGCCGCTGGAGAGACAGCCGTTGGATGTTGTCCAGGGTAAGCTGCACATCCGTCTCGGTCCATCCCTCGACTTTATGGCAACTGACTCCTCTTATAGTGGCTACTCATGTGCCAATATAGGTGGCCAAACATGTCAGAGTACCACTTCGTTGGGGCCGGTGGTTGTGGCAACATGCGATCGCGAAGAGATCGACAGGAAGCCCATCACCATTGACGATTTGAAGGAAATGTTCACCTTCTATGCCCCCATGATCCAGATCAATTGGCAGAGCAGCGACAGACCCGACGAGCAGACAACAGCAACAACCACAGATGACAGGACCAAGCCATCGATTCCAACCTTGACGCCCGCGGTGCCGACGGACGAGACCAACCCGCCAAAGTCTGATCCCACCCAGATTGTCATTGACA